TCGTCGCCGCCTTCCTGCGAAACATTTGGTTGCTGCGACTCATCATGTGTGACAAGTGTTACAGGTCATGTTGCACACGCACGTGTGTGTGAAGCTTTCCAGAACTCTCTCTGCCCGCTGACATTTACAAACCAGCCGCAGCAGCAGACATGAAACAAAGAGGCAGACGGGGAGGAAACAAAAGCCTCCAAGCACAGCGAGTCGATCTGCAGAGCTCTCCACCATCCAAAGGTCCCCACGTTCATTCTGCAGGAGCCCGAACTCACAAAGACCTGCAGCAGATGGAGGGAGACAAATCCACAAAACACAGACCAGGGTCAGGTTCTCCAAAACAAAGATAATAACCAACCCAACAAAGTCCAACAACCATCCAATGGGAGTCCAGTGTCCACAGAACAGCTGTGGCGAGTTGTCAAGGACGTCCCAAATCTGAGCTTAAATTAGCATCAGCTGAACCAGTCGAGATAGTAAACCATACCAAACAAGTTCAAAACCATCTCTGGTGTAAACACAACTGAATCCAGGACGATGGAAGCTCGTTCCCAGACTGCTGTGCACCTGAAACTGTCTTTAGCTCTTAGAGGTTAAACCTCTGCTGCAGATTGAGTCGTTCAGCAGCAGCAAAGCAAACCTCCAGGACTACATCAAGACACTTTCAGTCCACACAACAAGTGTTTCACGATTGTGAACTAGTTTAAAACCACAACCACTGATCTTAAAGACACGGACTGAAAAACTGTGACTGGTCCACCAGGCGAGTGTCCAGGAAACATCCAAACCACAGGTGACTGAATCGAATCCAGTCCAGGTGGAAACATCACTAACTGAACTGAAGTCACCAACACTGCTGATGTCGCCACTGCAAAACCTCAAAGCTTCTAAATCCAGAAGCCTCCAAAAAGATGTGAAAATCTCCCCTACATTTTCACTGTAGTTACTCTGTAACTAACATACTGCAGTGTAATTACACTGCAGTGTGATGAGTGTAATATGACGATGTGATTATAATATCTGGCAAATACATTTATATAATAATTACAGGAATGTTTAACTATAAAACCCATAAATAAGTAAAGTTTTAATCTTCTGGTGATCATTTTAAATTACAGCACATTTATAAATGAATCATTAGTTACAGTCATTCATGTTACATCATATTACAGTATTATTACGTCTACCAGTCTTATAATAAAATAAAGTGTGATTACTGTTGAGTACAAAGTATAAAGTATGTAGAGTAAAGTTTGAAGTTTGGTCAGTAAAGAAACTTTTTCCCTGAATAATAAAATTAAAATAATTAAAACAGTTCAGTGTGATTAAAGTATGATAATAATAATGATAACTGCTCTGTTTTAGTTTCTGCTGGTCAGTTTTCGACAGACTTTGTTTTTCATTGCTGGTCTCATCCTGTCACCGATGACGTCGTCTCCGTCTCAGGTCGCCGCGGTTTCACTCGCTGTTTGCGAGGTCAGTGAGAACAGGCGGCTCGTTTCACTGAGCCGACGCTCGAGCGAGTCATCAGAGAATCATCAGATTAAAGAGTGAAAGTGGCTCAAATCATCTCATCGAAACGTCCACGTCAGCAAAAAGTTTTCAGCTGCTTCCTCTTTGAATAAAGTGTCACGTGACCTGAGCTCACCGACCTTTGACCTTCTCACCGACACACACAGTGTCTCGGCACAAACGTGGAGAGATCAGGAATCCTGAGGACGGCTCGTCTCACTGGCCAAACTCCTGCACGCCTGTTCCCATGGTAACCACATGATCGCACACACATGTCATACGTGTCTGTTTCACGCGGTGATGTCCCCGCGGCGCCTGAAAGGATGCTGCACGTGAGGTCTGAGGGGGAGGAAGCAGCGAGACGTACAGATGATCCAAGCAGCGGCGTTTTTTAAACTCGTCACACGTGGAAACATGTTCTCTGTTCTTTAAAGATGTCAAACAGCTGCTGGAACATCTGGCGGCTTCAGGCTGCT